TTACCTGCTCGGCCATCTCTAGGAAAGAGGAATGTTCTAAAGGAAGGGTTGATATGTAAAAAGGAGCCTGGGATGGTTGCCCACACCTGTTAATTCCAGCACTCTGCAGGGAAATGGAGCATTCAAGGCTAGCGTGGGCTACACACCAAGAAAAGGGTCAAAAAGGCTGGAAAGAAAGCCATGCAAAATAGATCTGAGAGCAGAGGACACTGGATTCTGACAGGATGCCTGTGTGAAAGCAAGGCTTCTTTCTAACATGATGATGTATAAAACATGTACGAGAGGAGGCACAGCACACAGATGAAAGAGACATGCTATGAAAAGGAGGAACTGGAGGATGCATGAGGGTGGCCTCACAAGGTAGTCAGCACATCTCCTAACAAGCTGAAGCATTGTGGTCTGGGAGCCTGGGAAGGGAAGGTTCATTTTCCTTCCCTATTTGCTACTTAGAATGAAAGCTAAGAGGCAAATTCTAACCAAGAAGCGAAGTCCTTTGGTGGGGCAGAATGAAGGGTATCAAGTTGGTAAAAAGAGAAAATGGACATGGCTCAGAGGATAAAGGCACTTGTCACAAAGCCCGACAACCTGGTGAAAAGAGAGAAATGACTCCCACAAGTTGTCCTCTGACCTCCACATGCATGCTGTGACATAATTAAAAAAAAAAAAAATATATGGGCCAGGCGTGGTGGTGCATGGCTTTAATCCCAGCACTCGGGAGGCAGAGGCAGGTGGATCTTTGTGAATTAAAGACCAGCCTGGTCTGCATAGTGAATTCAGGACAGCTGGGACTACAGGGAGATCCTGTCTCAAAAAGGCAAAAAAAAAAAACAAAAAACAAACCAAAAACCAAAAACAAAAACAAAAAACCCCATGAAAACCCAAATCAAAAGGTGAGGTTGGTATGGTGGGTCATGCTGTTTTAAGATCTGAGGAGGCGGAGGAAGGAGGACAGGTTTGAGGCTAGCCTGGGCTATCTAGTGATAACCTGGCTCAAAACAAAAGGGCTTCTTCAGATACAGTTCCGTGGCAGAGTATTGCTTGACATGTGCCAGATCTTCGTTTTGATTCCAACTCTGTCAACAAAACAAGAACTATACCACAAAACCCATTCTTTTAAAACACGAAGAGGCAGAGAGGTCCAAGTGTTCTAGCTTTACTAGGCAATCCTGCACTCACTCCACGAGCTAGCAAGCTGTGGGCGCAAACCCAGGGACCCTATCACACTAGCAGCACTTTTGTTTTAGTGTGTCTGTACCTATACACTCCGCACGCTGCATTTCCATTCCTCTCCACTCCTCTCTTGCTTTGCAGGGCTGGGAATTAAACATTCTGTGCTCCAGACTCCGTGAACATATTCACGTTGTCAGTCACTAACAGTTCTCATCTCAGGGTATGTTTTACAAATGATGGTGATTTGGGTCTAATAAACTCTAGTATTTGTAAATGGAATGAAATTTTCCTAAAGCAGATGAAGATCACAATCCATACTTCAAGAGCTCTGGGCTCATCTCAGATGGGCTGCAGAAACAGGGCCTGATCCTGGAAGCTTCTATTTGCCACCTATATAAACTTTTGTCACAGAAAAGGTTCTGCTGATGAAGAAAAATGCTTAAAAAGCCCCAAATCAGATTAAGTTCTCCTGAAGGTACTGAACTCTACAAAGTCCTGAGAAACAACTTATAGACTCAGTCCAAAAAAGGCCTTAAACCATTCACTGCTGCCAGAGCATCAACATCTAGAACATGAGAAGGCCACTACAAGTATTAGTCGCCCACTCCAGTTCAAACAAAACAAAATCAAGTAACTAATACAGGCACTTATTTTGTTGTCTGTTTGAGACAGGGTCCCAGTATGTAGCCCTACCTGGTCTGGAACTCACTATGTAGATCAGGCGGCCTAGAACTCAGAAATCCAGGTGCTCAGGCCTCCAAGTGCTAGGATTAAAGGCAAGCACCACCACGCGCACCTAGCCATTTAGTCTTGCTCTCAGCTAAAAACAATGACATCCACTCTAGAATATAGAGCTGTGGGAGAGCTGAGTGACTTAGCCTGAGGCGAGTGTGAGAAACCGGCTCAATCTCCTTACAGGCAAACAATTACAGACAAAAAACAAAAACAAAACAAATCTTTAAACAAAGCACCGATTAAAGTAAGACCAGGTGACTGTAAGACCAGGACGTGGTGGTGCATACCTTTAATCTCAGCACTTGGGAGGCAGAGCAGGAGGACCTCTGAGTTCAAGGCCAGCCTGGTCTACATAGCAAGTTCCTAGAGAGCTGGGACCACACAGAGACACTGTCTCAAAGACCAAAAAATAAATAAGACACCAGGTGTGATGGCATACAGCTATAATTATAATACTTGGAAAGTAGAGGTAGGAAGATCACTACCAGTTCAAAGGCAGCCAGGTGGTGCACGCCTGTAGTCCCAGCACTTGGAAGGCAGAGACAGGCGGATCCCTGTGAGTTCAAGGCCAGCCTGGTCTACATAGTGAGTTCCAGGACAGCTGGCGCTACAGGGAGACCCTGTCTCAAAAAGACCAAAAACAAAAACAACAACAACAACCCCTACAACAACAAAAAAACGGCAGCCAGGTCTACATATCGATTTTCAGGCCATCCAGGGCTATATTGAGAAACCCTGTTTCAAAACTAAACAAAATTTAAATATAAAGTAAAAAAATTACTGAGCTAGGTATAGGGCACACACCTGTAATCCTACCACTTGGGAGTCTGCGGTAGAAGAATCATGAGTTCAATGCTAGACTGGGTTATGTATATAACCATCCTGGACTATGCATATATAGTTAAGACTGTCTCAAAATGACAGGGGTCGGGTGGGGGAAGAACTTGGAATGCAGTTCAGTGGTGAGTGCTTGTCTAGCATTCAAGAGGCCCCCAACTCAATCCTTAGCACAGGAAAGAAAGGTGAGCAAAAAGAGGAGAGGATCGGGAAAGAGGAGAGAAAAAGTGCCTGTAATCCAAGCACTTAGGAGGTAGAAGCAGGAAGACCAGGACATTCTTGTGTACATGGGGAGTTTAGAACAGTCTGGGGTGAGGGGTCAGTAATTTCCATGGGGCAGTAGGGAGCGTGGGCAAGAGGGGAGGAGGGAAAGGGGGAAAGGTGGCATGACCAGACCCTGAGGATAATAAACACACGTAGGCTGGAGAGAAAAAGACGTTTCCAACAGCAAGAACATGAGCTCAGCCTCGTCAGAGACTGCACGTGGGGGAGTCAGGAGTGAGGGAAAATTAAAGTGAAAATGAGGCCAGACCAGACTGTAAGGTACTTTAATCTTCTGCCAAGGAATCGGGCTTCATTACAGAGACACAGAGCAGGCAAACAGTGTCAAATGAACACTATTAAAACACTCTTTCTACTATTAAATCTGTACAAAAATATTGAAAGTTTCCACAGACTACATGAGAGCATTAATTCCAGGATGAATAAAGTAACTCCAAAGGTCCTACCCCTCCTGAGACCCATTAGGAATACTCTGAGGGCGGGAACCATTTTTTTGGATCTCTAGGGCACAGGACACAGTGGAACCAACAGGCATTCTTTCATGGTTAAGGAAGATGGAGAAAACAAAGAATGGAGCCAAGGTTTCTGGCCTAATTACTGGAGTAGGTTGCTGAAGAGGGGGATCTAAGTTTTGTTTGGGAGATGTTAAAATGAATAAATCTACAAAACGTCCAGGTGTTCTGCTCAAAATCAGTTAAAACAAAGGCTTGAAGCTTTGAATGTAGGTCTCGGCCACAGAGGTACATCTGAGAATCCTATGCACAGAGCACTGGGAGCAGCTGATGGCACATGGGTAGAAGAAGTCAGTGGGCACCAAAGGATGTCAGCTCACAAGTCAGTGAGCCAAGATGGGACTAGACAGAATCAAACAGAGAGGGAAGGCGGATAAAGAGGACAGGCATCCCATGAGCCCAAGAAGGTCCATTTCAAGAGACATTTCAAGGCAGTAATATAGAGATGGGCTGGTATGAAGACTGCAAAGGCTGCCTACTGGATTTGGCAACCCGACAGTGACTGACACTCCCTGCAGTGGGGAGTGGTTAGGTAAAGTGTGCCCTGGGTTCCAGTGCATAGAAAATGCGAACTGAGGGCTGGAGAGATGGCTCAGCAGTTAAGAACATTGTTCTTACAGAAGACCTGGGTTCGAATCCCAGCATCCACATGGCAGCTAACAAGTGTCCGTAACTCTAGTTCCAGGGGATCGGACAGCCCCTTCTGTCTTCCTCCAGCATTGCACAACATGGGTGCACTAACCTACATGCAGGCATAACACTCATACACATTAAAAAAAAAAAAAATAGGGGCTGGAGAGATGGCTCAGTGGTTAGGAGCACTGACTGCTCTGGCAGAGGATCCGGGTTCAATTCCCAGCACTCACATGGCGGCTACAAACCATCCTTAACTCCAGTTCCAGGGGAATCCGAAGCCCTCTTCTGACCTCCATGGCATTGCACAACATGGGTGCACTCACATACATGCAGGCAATACACTCATACACATAAAATAAAAAATAATAAAAAAAAGAAAATGTAAACTGGGTGTATAGTTGCTCAAGTGTAGCACTACAGGAAGGAGTAAAAGGTGTTAGCAGTTGGGTAAGTCATCTGGTTGGAATTTGGTGCATTCCCTGACTTACATGGCTGTGTCTAGAGATTTTCACAAGGCTGGAATCCAGTACTCAGTATCCAGTATCCTTACAGCACACATGAAGGATTACATAATAAAATTAGCATCAGCAGTAAATGGTTGTTGATAATACAAGCATAATCTATCACACACCACAGCAAAGTTTAATTAAATTCACAGGATAAAAGGGAGTGCAATAGACTGACCCAATCTGCCATTAATTTCAAGGCATTTTAGCTGCATGGGGAAAGGAGGCCAAGCTCTGGCACACTCAATGGCTCTAACACAAGGGAGGTTACTGGGGGGTTGTCTTAACTCCTTTGCCCTGGCCTGCCTGAGGACATACTCACCTCCATAGTAGAGTCCCGTAGCAGTGCACATCCGCCACTGTCCCTGATACATTCCTGCTCTGCTGGGGCTGCACATCTGGACGCTGACATCTGCAATCTCTTGGGGCTCTAGCGATCTCACCATCACCATGTTCACATGTCCAAACTGGTCTCCCCCGACATATTTAAGACAAACCCCTGGAGGCCAGGCCTCTGCCCCTGAGTTCAAGCAAAAGAAAAGAAATGTTAGGAAGCCTGTAGTCCCTGGCTAGAGTTTCCTGTAAAACTGTGGAAGAGGCCTCTTTGTCTCACATACACGAAGAAGCCCACCCACATATCTCCGAGCCAACAATGTCTCCCATCACTCAACACAAGGAATTTTGTAAGATGGCTCAGTGGATAAGGGTTCTTGCCACCAACAGTGAAACATTTAATCCCTGGATCCCTCATGGTGGAAGGAGAGGCTCTACTCCAAGTTGTCCTCTGTCCTCTCTCTTGAAAAATAAGTGAATGGGGCTGGAGAGATGGTTCAGTGGTTAAGAGCACTGGCTGCTCTTGCAGAGGACCCAGGTTCAATTCCCAGCACCCACATGACAACTAACAACCATTCATAAACTGTAGTTCCAGGGGATCTGATGCCTTTTTTTAAAAAATCACCCACATGGTGGTTACAAACTATCCCTAACTCCAGTTCCAGGGAAATTTTTGTTTTTTAAGATTCATTCTGTTGCCAAAATTTAAAAATCAGTTTTAACTTTTGATTTGTGTTCCTTAAGAAGCCCTGACCTAGGTTTCTGACAAGAATGAAGGAAGAATACTAGTGGTAAAACAGCCATTGAAGAACCCATATTTGAGGACGTTAACATTGCTATAATTCCTGGTTAAGATTATATTGGTTGAACATCAACCAGATTGCAGTAACTTTAAATGATGCTATTGCTTTCTTGTCCTTTTCCTTCTAGCTGTATCCTTCCAGTACTGACACAGGCAACTGTATTAGTCACATTTCTGTTGCTGTGATAGAAACACCATGACCAAGGAAGAGTTTATTTAGCTTTGGTTCCAAAGGGGCAGGAGTCCATCATGGCAGGGAGGCATGGCGGCAGAAGTGGCTGGAGGAGGAGTGGAAACTGAGCTCTCACATCTTCAAGCAGGCACAGGAAGCAAGAAAGTGAGTTGAAATCCTGCAAGGCTTAAGAGCTCTGTAAGCCTGCCTACAGTGACAGGCTTTCTCCAGCATGGCCACACATTCTTTTTTTAAATTATTTATTTAATAACCATATAATTAGAAGAAGCACTTCATTACAGCTTTAACATATTCAGGAACACACTCCAGAGCAAGAATACATCTCTTTCAAAAGTGGCTGTAATTTTTAAGTTCACAGTTGAATTAATAGAGTTATACACTACTGAACTCAGTATAAGTCTTGTAAGACATAAAATTGAATGAGTTTTTAACCTTTAAAAAAGATCTCCATTTCATTTTAGGATATATTGTTCCTTGCCCTCTTTTGACCTCCACAGGCATTGTACAACACAGGTGCACCTATTTACATGCAAGCAATACACTTGTATACATAAAAAAAATAAAACAAAAAAATAAATAAAATTCTTTAAAAAGTGAATGATGGGGCTGGAGAGCTGGCTCAGTGGTTAAGAGCACTGGCTGTTCTTACAGAGGACCCAGGTTCAATTCCCAGCACCCACATGGCAGCTGACAACTGTTGGTAACTCCACTTCTGAGGATCCAATGCCTTCTTCTGATTTCTTTGGACATTGCATGACACAGGTACACTTACACAGATGTAGGCAATACACTCATAAACATAAAATAAAAATAGTAAAAAGGTTTTTTTAGAGGAAAAATAAGTAAATTGAATGTAAATAAAGAATTTCGGCTGAGTCAGGTGTGGTGGTGCACGCCTTTAATTCCAGCACTCTGGAGGCAGAGGTAGGTGGATCTCTGTGAGATCAAGGCCAGCAGGTCTATAGGAGACCCTGTCTCAAAAAGACCAAAAAAAAAAAAATTAATTAAAAAAAATTAGGAATTAATAATCTCTGATTAACGATCCTTAAGACATGTATTTTGGACTGGAGAGATGGCTCAGCGGTTAAGAGCACTGACCGCTCTTGCAGAGGACCCGGGTTCGATTCCTAGCACCCACACGGCAGCTACGAACTGTCCTTCTGACACCCTTTTCTGACCTCTGTGGCATTGCACAACACAGGTGTACTCGCATGCAGGCAATACACTCATACACTTAAAATGAAAATAATAAAAATAATTTAAAAAAAATACCAAAGATGTATATTTTGGGGCTGGAGAGATGGTTCAGCGGTTAAGAACACTGACTCTTCTTTAACACCTGAGTTCGAATCCCAGTATCCACATAGCAGCTAACAACTGTCCATAATGCCAGTTCCAAGGGATCCAACAGCCTCTTCTGTTCTCCATGGGCATTGCAGGACACGGGTGCACTTACTTACATGCAGGCATAACACTCATACACATAAAGATAATAGGTAAAATATATATATAAAAAAAAAAGATGCGTATTTCAAGTGACATTAGAGAAGGTCACGTCATGCTAAATCTGGTAAGCCAAAGAAATGTCCATGAAGAGCTGTGGAGATGAAGCCCAGGCCCACTCTCAGGGGAGATTGCTTTCTCAAGTGAAAGTAACAGTCACTTTCACTTGAATTTTTAAAGTAAGAATATGGTCAGCACATGCCTGTAATCCCAGCAGTCAGGAGGCTGAGCAAGAAGATTATGTGTTTGAGGCCAACTTGGGCTACCACAGCAAGTTCCAGGCCATACTAGCTATACTACAACACTGTGTATCAAAATAGATTAACAGATATACAAACAAAATAAACACTATCTTGACTTCCTAGTCTTTCCATAGAGGTAAGAGGATGAGCCACACAAGAAGCGATGTCTATGATGTTCTCATTTACAGATGGTGTTTTAGGATGGGGCCATAGCTCAGTCAGTAAGGTGTCTGGTAAGCACAAAGACCTGAGTTTGGTGCCCAGAACCCATGTAAAAAAATGCCAGGTAGGAGGCCAGGGAGATGACTGGACAGTTCAAACATTTAGGGAGCAAGCAAGAGGACAAGAGCTGGATCCCCAGAAGCCAGGTAAATGCTGGGTGAGCATGGAGGCCCACCTGTAATTCCACTCTAGGAAGGTAGAGAGGGGGTCATTAGAACAAGCTGGTTAGGGAGACTACACAAACTGGTGAGTTCGGGTTTTGACCTCATGTAAGGCTGCCTCAAAGAGTAAGGTGGAAGAGTGATAGAGGAAGATTCCTAACATTGACTTGAGATCTCAGAAGCACAAGTACATAACATACATATACACCCACACATAAACACACATACACAACACACACAAACACACACATAATGAATTTTTATTTTGCTTTGTTTTTTTTTTTTTGTCTTTTTGAAACAGGGTCTCCCTGTAGCCCCAGCTAGCCTAGAACTTACTATGTAGACCAGGCTGGCCTTGAACTCACAGAGATCCACCTGCCTAGGCCTCCCAAGTGCTGGGATTAAAGGTGTGCACCACCACACCACCACTCCTGGTCATGATGATTTTTAAATCTAAAAATCTAGGTAATAGTCTGGGCGTGGTGGCCTTTAATCCCAGCACTCGGGAGGCAGAGGCAGGTGGATCTCTGTGAGTTCGAGGCCAGTCTGGTCTCCATGGTGAATCCAGGACAGCTGGGGCTACAGGGAGACTCTGTCTCAAAAAGACCGGAAAAAATAAATAAATAAACAATCTAGGTAATAGCCAACACTTGAGAGGCAGAGACAGGTGGATCTCTGTGAGTTCAAGGCCAGCCTGGTCTACATAATAAGTTCCAGGTCAGCTGGGGCTACAAGGACAGCCTGTGTCAAAAAAAAAAAAAAAAAGTCCAGGTGTAATTCATGTGCTTGTAACCTGAGTTGCAGAGGTAGAGACAGGAGAATCCCTGGACCCTGCTGTCAGTCAGCCTAGCTTACTTGGCAAATTCCTGGCCAGTAAGGGACCCTGTCTCCAAAAAATAATGGAGAGCATCTGAAGAACAACACCCAAGGTTGTCCTCTGGCTTACACACACACACAAATCGTGTTACCTGATATAAGACTTTTCTTCTGAGGTCCTTAACTATAAAATACTTAGGGGCTCAAGAGACTGTTTAGATCTCAGCGATGGGGAACACAAACAGTGGATGCTCTCCCCTGTAAACTGAACTGTGGTCCCAAGAGTAGTGGGTACCCACCAGAATTGCTCATGCAAAAGATGGAGCAGCAATGCAGAGACTTCGGCTGCAGTATTTTCTGCCTCTGCAACAGCCAAAGATCTCATTTGGCATGTACTCTCATGTAAACTGTAAACATGTAAATCAAAATGAGATATCTGCCCAGCATGGTGGTGCACGCCTTTAGTCCCAGCACTCGAGAGGCAGAGGCATATGGACCTCTGTTGAGTTCAGGGTCAGCCTGGTCTACATAGTGAGTTCCAGGCCAGCTGAGGTTACAGGGAGACCCTGTCTCAAAAAAAGACCCCCCCCCTCCGAAAAAAGAAGGTGGGTGGTCAAGGGTGCACTTGCCTGCGTATGACAGTATTTTGGTGAGACCTTTTTATGTCCTCAGAAATGGCAGCTAACAACTGTCCGTAACTCCAGTCCCAGGGGATCCGACAGTCTGTTCTGTCCTCCTTGGGCACTGTACAACACGGGTGCACTTTCATACATGCAGGCTTAACACTCATACATATAAAATAAAAATAAATAAAAAAAATTGAACTTTACGTAGAAGTTTTCATTTATGTAGCTCATACTGATACAATTCATTCCATCTTATAAGGACTGTGAGGTAGGTATCATGAGCCCCATCTCACAAGTGAGGAAACCAAGTTCGGAGAGGTTAAATGAAAAAAAACCAAAAAAAAAAAAAAAACCCAAAAAACTTTGTGTTGACTAGTTAAGTGGTATGGCAGCACAGATGACTAGATGTGATCTTTCCTGTGAAATCTCTCTAATATGAAGTCAACGATATTACCCTTTTTATAGAGGCTTCTTTGTATCCTTTAAAATATATTTATATATATAGTACACACGCACACGCATGTGCGTGCACACACAAAATGGTTTCTGTTAGTACAAAAATGCAAGAATGTGTCTGTTTTTGAACTTCTAAGACTAGATTAACTAATAATCTGAGTGTAAA